GATGTAGTATGTTGACTCCAGGTACCATGTTCCAAGACGGGATGTGGATGGAGTTGGAGGTGAATACTGTGTTAGGAAAAATATGGTTCTCAAAGAGGAAGACGCCAATTTCTGGATTTTGCTCCTCAAGGTTCACCATCATGGTTTTCCAATTTGTATGCTTGATGGGCAGGATAATTTCATCTACATCATTCAGCAGCACATACCTGCTTCTGTACATATTCCGGTAGACACAGTCATTTAAGGCGGCAATTTGTCCATAGTAGCCGATTTCGGTCCCATCATCCCTGGAACGCCAATGTGTAGAAACGTTGAGGTAGGATGTGATTGGCCAAGGAACAATCTCCAGAGTCCCTTCAGCCACATAAAATTCCAGGACTTTCTCCATCAGTTGGCTGCAGTTGTTCTTATAGATGACCACTTTTTGCATCCCAAGGAGTTTATACATTTCCATGCTCTGGATGAACTGCAGGACATTGTTGTAGCCTCCAAACATGGTGGAGATGCACACTGTAAATTCCACAGGGAAGGTCTCAAATTTCCGGTTTTTAATTTCAAACCATGGCGAAAGATTGACATCCTCTTTAGGAAATGGGTGCAAAGCCACATAACGGGGCTCACAGTTTGTGGGCTCCATGCAGACCATGTCTGCCACTGTGTACGGGAACCCAAATCGATCTGAATGGACATTTGTCACCACCTTGGAAATATATACTTCATCCCTTTCTAGGCAACAAAACCAACAATAGTGTTCTTTGACTTTCTCATGATGCACAATGCCAATTACCCGAGTCAACTTCTCCTTTCTGTGATCAAAATATGGGGCAATGACCAATGTGCTTCTGTCCTTTAAAACTGAAATGGAATTATTGGTGACTTCTTCTCTACAAATATTTTTTTCCTTCCACACAACTGTTTTTGGGAGAAGAGAATATTTTTGTATCCGGTGATAGAAAACAGTTAGCATGGAAGCAAACGCCACTAGACATAGCCCTGTGGCCAAGTAAGTTTTCCTTCTGAAGCAGATCATTCTCTTGAACCCAGGCCCACACCAGCATGTGCCTACAACAGACAGAAGGCAAGGCAAATAGGTCAATCGGGGGATTATTAATGAAGCTGTTAACTCACCTCCTATGATATGAAAACAGAGACTAATTGGATAATAAATAATATACTGTCATTATTCAGTATTTGACTTTCCAGACTATGACTCTGGAGACCAGGGTTCAAATCCCTGCTTGGCCATGTAAACCCACTGAGTGACCTTGGGCAAGTCACAATCTCTCAGCCTCAGGGGATGGCAATGGCAAAGCCCCTCTGAAGAAACTTGTCAAGAAAACCCTATAGTGTCACCATAAGTCAGAAATGACTTGAAGGCACACAACAACAACAAATATTCAAGCAGATATAACTCAATAGAAGCATCATCCCAGAAGGGCAAAGCAATCTATGATGCAAGAACGACATTTGTATACCAAGTATCTACAAGCTGTCATTGGGATTTTCTAGTTGCCAGCTCCAAAATCCAATCCTATGACAAAATACATCTTGTGGCATCTTGTTAGTGACATACCTAAAACCTAATCCACTTTACACCTGCATAAGTCTTTAAAAAAAAAAACATTGCAGAGATTAGTAGTCTCTTCTACCCTCCACAATGCCAAAACCTCTCATCCCCAGTCTCAACATTTTATTTCAAATCTTCCCAAGTCCTAGTCCAACACTCAGATCACTACATCATGCTGGCTGTCAGTATGCATACTACATAATGTTTTATTTAAAGTACAGGTGGCCCTCCACATTTGCGGATTTGACATTTGTGGATCTGATTATTTGTGGTTTTGATGAATATGTTCTCTTGGGAATCTCTAGGGCCCCCAGTGCAAATCTGCCAGAAGTTGACCATAGACTTGTGCTGGAGAACCTAGAAGTTCCTAGAGAAAACACTTTTCTAGGTATGTGTAGGTCCTCCAGCATGATTCTAGGATCCACTTCTGACAGATGTTGACCATACACTTGCACTGGAGGACCTGGAGATTCCCAGAGAGGTGTTCTTTTAGGTAAAAAGAATAGTGGTTTTTTTAAATTATTATTTATTGCTTTTCCACATTCATGGGGGTCCTTCACCCCTAACCCCAGTGAATGCGGAGGGACCACTGTATTGTTTTCACATATAATATCTTGCTTTTTATCTTTATAAATCAATATGGTGAGGGTGCAGAACAGTAAAAACACTAAAACATTAAAAAAAAACTTTGCAAAGTCTTCAAAAACAAAGAGCAAAAGCAGCAGAGGATAAGCAAATGAAATCTCTCTTTCATTCTCTCTATAATTAAATGCAGAAATAATCAGCAAGACTAAAATCGAAAAGCAAACAGAAAATGATCTAAAGCCTTCTGAACTTGTCAGGGTTCCCCCTCCATACATATTAGTAAAATGGCGTTACGATTAAGCAAAATGAATACTTAATACTCTGTCTATTTAGGATTGTAAAACCATATTGAGCAATGAGGAAAGCAAAACACAATACCTGACAGCTCCTTCAGTCACTCAGGACTGCTCCAGAAATTTGTATTTTTCCACGTTTCTTCTCTCTTTACAGGGGGTAAAATCCTCAAACTCCAAAACAAGTCTATTCTAGATATAATGGACCAGGGAACACTAAACCAGATTATCCTTCACTTTTGCAATCTGTTTCCCAAAAGGTTTTTCTGTTTTGTCTTCAGCAAACTTATCTTCAGCAGGTAGCTTACTTCCTCGAAATTGCTACTCCAAATATTATAATCCAGTAAAAGGATGAATACAAATCAAAATAAAAAAGCCTTGAAGAGAGACATAGATGAAAAATAAACCTTAAGAGAAAACGGAGCACTCAAACTCTTTCAACAGGAGCATGTCATAAAGCTGGAGCTTGCTTGAAAAACAAGCTTAGCAAGTTCCTGGGGAAAAAAGGCAAATTACTATCTTATCTTATTTAAAGGGAAGACCTGGATGAACTCCTTTAGGCGACTAAAGGCAGGTCTAAAGACAATACAAAGGCTAAACAAGGGAGCCTACCAGTTCCTTTGGACCTCCAGATGTTTCAGACTTCAGCTCCCAGAATTCCTGACTGTTGACCAAGGTGGCTGGGGCTTCTGGGAGTTGAAGTCCAAAAACACCTGGAGGACCAAAGTTTGGGAATCTATAAGTTAGGGAGTGAAAGTTTGGAAGTAGTATAGTACTGCTGCTCCAGGAACGTCCTTTGTGAGAATGAATTTCATAAAGCTAAACTCCCCAAATCCCACACAAAACACAGCTGTAGGTCAATGGAGGCCACCTGGAAAATGTTGAACTCTTACAAAACCTACCTATGAGCAGGTACTTCTTTCCTTGTCTTCTTAGCCTGAGCCTTCAACTCTTTTTCTGAAGGCTAGGATGGCAGTTTGATATGTCCAGATGAGAATCAGGGCTCTCTAAAGGGTTGATGTGATGCCATCTTCCACAAAAGTCCAGGATCTTCTTGGTTTTGGTAAAGACCCAGTTCTAGATTATCCTCTATTGAGGAACCCACCTGCCACCAAGTGACCTTTCAGGTGCCAAGTGATCCACCTTTTCCCTAGGGATTCTGCCTGTAAAACTAAGCATTTTAAGGCTATATTCCACCACTGACGCATCCTCAGATCTTCCCCATCTGTCAGTTTAGGGGCAGCCAACAAAAGGCTGGCTCCCTTCCACAGAATTGTTAATACGATCCAGTTGCAGGCTAACTTTAATAGCCATTCCAGTACCAAAAACTAGATTTTAATCTCCTTTGCCTTTTATAAACGCTCACGCCAAACCAGCCAGACTCGTTCTGAGTTTCAGTACTGGGTTTCTTGCTCAATATGAGTAAAACTGTAGAGAGATGCTAGGGGAGTAGGGATGCTCCATACACACACCCTTCCAACTGGTTTTGGGTGACGCGGCTTCAGTGATAGTTAAGCAATAACCAAAGCAGAAATTTGTGTGGAGGTGATGCTGTAGCGCAAGCAAATGTGCATCTGATTCAGTAGTGCAACACTGCCATTCATCACAATGGTTATGTCGCACAGTCAATGTGTAACTCTTGCACGGGGAGGTTTGCCCCATGCAACTTGGATTTAATCCACGTGTTGATTACTATTTTGAGAGAATGGCAGGACCAACTGAAAAGGAGGGAGACTGGTCCAGGTTAGGTATTTAATAGATCAGGGGCTTGGAATATTTGTTTCTGTGCCCTCCCAGAGATAATCTATTAGGAGGTACTGTATGGTAACCATTACACATTTTGAAGCCAGCGGCAATATGGTAAGAGCCCTGTGTGGGATGGACCACATCCTTTTATTTACTTGTTTTCTTCCCCACCCAGAAGTCTGAATTAGTTGCTTGCAAAAACCTTTAGAAATTATTCTGGGAGCAGACTGTAGCGCTGGATGTAAAGGTTGCTCAGCGTTTATTAAGACGAGGATCCCCCCCCCCTTACCTCTTTTGAAAATGGACCATTTTTATTTTTAAGGGACATCATCTCCATTGGGTGTTTACAATCTTATTTAAAACTGGCTCCTCGCACTATTGCATACGTTTGGTTCTATTTTACTTTGGGAACGTCCGACCTTTTTGTAAAAAAGAAAGAAAGAAAAAGAAATCCAAGCATTATTAAGCCTGTAATTGCACCTATCCTGTGATCTAAATGAGATGCATTCATATGTAAAGGAGTGATGCCTCTAGGCAACTAAGCAGCACAACTATAATGTTGCCATTATCTAATCCGGCTTGTGAAACAGCCAAAGAAATTTGCAAAACTGGTAAGATTGCAAAATAAATTGGGCAATAAAAAGGAACTCATTGACATTCCACATAGCATTGCTGTTGTTTGTGCCTTCAAGTCATTTCTGACTTAAGGTGGCCCTATCATGGAGTTTTCTTGGCAAGTTTCCTCAGAGCGGGATTCCCATTGCCATCCCCTGAGGCTGAGAGAGTGTGACTTGCCTAAGGTCACCTAATGTCCAAGCTGGGATTCGAACCCTGGCCTCCAGAGTCATAGTCCAACGCTCAAATCGTTACACCACGCTGGCTCTCTACAGCATGGAGATAACCACAATAATTTCACAATTAAGACTACAAGCCCATTAATGGAGGCTGTCCTTCCTTTATACTCCTCCATCAGGCTTTAATGTCTCTTTTACCAATAAAATGGTATTACACTATCCTATGGCCACCAGATCCTGTTTGAAAAATGGAAGCTAAAGATCAACTCTGGTTATGGTGAGCTCCATATCTGGATGGGAGACTGCCAACGAATACCAGGTGCTGTAGACTATATTTCAGAAATAGAAATGGGCAAAATCACCTCTGAGTACTCCTTGCCTAACCTTATTCAATTCATTAGGTTCCCATAAGTTACTTGAAAGCACAAACACACACGGAAACACTAAAAGCTATGTCTCACATGTTATAAGCCATTGCATTTTACTTTGTAAGGTAACGTACTGAAGAAGTATAACAGTTACCAGCTTTGAAGAGACTGGGATGGTTATGTGAAGGTAGCAATTTACAAGAAATAAGAATTCACAAACACAGCAGCGCAGGTCAGGGAAGCTGTCATAACTTTAAAGAAAACTATTTACAAGTTCAAGTCATCTCCTGCTGACCAGGAAAGGCTGTCTGATAGGGGAAGTCCATTCTGTATCGCTTAAATGCCTTTCAAAAGCAGTCTTCTGCAAGATCATTTTGCGATGGCAATTTCCTTGCTGAGACAATTTATTAGGATCCTCATGTTGTCATACTCTTTAAGTCTGCAGAAATTGAAGACTGAAGGACAATCGTGTTCTAAAAACAATTGCTAAGTAGAATAACTTTATTCAACATACAGGATTTAATTTAACCATTCCTCACTGCAGAATTAAATTCTTTACCGTTTTAATAATAGCTCTAATACATCTCAAAGCAGACTCTTCGCTGGAAAACACAATGCCAGCTTGCCTTAAAATGCAGCTGTTGAATGTAACCAGGTTAATCTATAATGAACTTTCACAACAGTCAACAAAACCTTTTGTGTGGCGAGGAAACAAATCTACACACACCTACTGTGCCAATGCAGTTTAAAGAGATATACTTGGCATATAGTTATTGATTCATACGTTTATCTTCAGTTCTGTCTAAAGCAAATCAGAAGAATCCCAAAGCCATGCTGCAGACTTTTAATGGACCGATAAGCACTAGCCGAAAATGCTAATTCAACCAATATATTTTGTAGAAAAGATTATTCTTCCCTTCAGTATCCTTTAGAGATGCCGTGCCTGTGAACAATTGTGAGAATTTATGAACTATTTGAGAACTCATTGATGGAAAACGGGGCGGACATGTTTTAATCTATCGATCACAGGTGATAAGTTATATTTGTCACATTTTCTGCTAACTTTATGATGCACAAAGTTAAAAGAAGGCTGTCCTCCCCAGCATTTAGCCTCTCTATAAACAACAACCAAATGAAACACCTACTTCATTCAACAAAAACAACACCATTTCGGAAAGCAATTGTGTACATATAGAAACAGAAATGTCTATTTTAAGATTCTTGCAAATCTTTCCAAGTATGTGTTCCAACCGGTCTTCACGCTCTTTTCAACGAACAGTTTTACAAGCACTTCATTAACTTTGTTAACCAACGACTTGCCGAATCTCAAGATTGCCGTGTCCCTGATAAGATAGCGGTCCGGAGTCTCTTCTTTGTGGTGGCCTCTGCAATTGTAAAGAATCCCAATATCTCTGGGAACTTCCAGTGTTCTGCTATAACCCCTGAGAATGTAGCTGGATGAGGTTTGCACCACTTTCCTTGGATTGACAATCATTCTCCTGGGATTCCTGAGCCACAGTTTGCTGGGTTCTTTGTAAATATGCTGCAAAATGTTAGTTCCCGGGACAGTTTTCCATAATGAAATGTCGAATTCGTCATCGATAGAAGAAAATACGTTTTGTGGAAAGAAATTGTTTTCAAAAACAAAGATGCCTGCCTCTGGGTTGCGTTCCACAAGGCTGCTTATCATTTTTCCCCAACTCGGATGTTGGATGGGAAGGATAATCTCGTCGATGTCATTAAGAACCACATATTTGCTCCTGTACATATTGCGGTAGATGCAATCGTTGAGAACAGTGGCTTTCCCATACAGCCAGTCCTTATGAGAGTACCAGAAGGAAGAGAAATTAATATAGGAAACTATTGGCCACGGTATTACGTCAACGGTGCCTTCCGCAACGTACAAATTCAAGACTTGCTCCATCAGTTGGCTGCAATTGTGTAAGTAAATCACCACTTTCTGCGCACCGAGGATCTTATATATTTCCATACTTTGGATGAACTGTAAGACATTGCTATAGTTTCCAGACATGACGGAGAGACAAAGGGTGAACTCAGCCGAAAAGGGAAACTGTGGCAAACGGTTCTGAATTTCAAACCTTGGTAGCTCTTCCGCTTGACCTTTTGGGGACGAATGAATGGCGACGTATTTTGGGTAGCAGATTTGGGGTTCCAAACACACGATTTCTGCCGCCCCCAAAATGGAGCCAACCCTGTCTGGGTGAATGGCGATGGCGGCCCTTTGGATGGAGATTCGGCCGTCGAGGCTACAGCAAAACCAGCAATACAGGTCCTCCACTTTCTTGTAGTCCACGATGGCGATCACACGCGTTAAGTTTTGTTCCCTGTTGTCGTGATACGAGGAGATGATGAAGGTTTTGTTGTATTTTAATGCTGTGATTGTGTCGTTGACAATTTTAAACTTGCACCGGTCGGTTGGCAGTTCCAGCGGGGCAGGAGGAGGAAGTTGTGTTATCCAGTTGTGAACCTGAACATACAGCATAATAAGAAAAGGGACTGCGATCCACAAATCCCGCTTTCTACAGCGAAGCATTGTCTCCGTCTGACGTTGTGACGCAGGACTTACAGGATCTGGAAAAGAGGGGGAAAAAACAAGGTGAAAATCAAAGTTGTATATATATATATATGTTTCTTTCTATTAAGTAAAAAAGGTTTTAAAAGTATAAGATATTATTACACAAGGGTTAAGTTAAAGAAGTGTTATAAATATGAAAATATTACATAGTATATTATGAAGCTTAATGTATGTGGTTATGTATGAATGTATGTATGTGTATTTGTATTTGTTTAATGTATATAATTGTTATTGTATATACATTAAATAATTGTTATCATCATCATACCATAACCTTTATTAGGCATCTCAATAATCAATATACAATGAACATAATTGTTATATTAATAATCATTGTTTTAACTGATATGTAGTTTAATTGATTTTTAAGGGGGGGGGAGGGAGTTATGTTATTTTAAGCTGTATGCAATTTTTTACTTGTAAACCGCCTAGATTGGTTCACCACCGGGCGGTATATAAATAAATTTTATTATTTTATTATTATTTTTTATTATGTATGTGTTTGTGTAGTTTTTATGGTAAATTTGTGTCAAGTTTGTCTATTTCTATATGGAAATAAAATTATTTAAAAAAAGAAAAGAAAATCAAAGTTGTACTGTTTACGGAAATCATTAATATCAAATAATAATAATAATAATAATAATAATAATAATAATAATAATAATAATAATAATAATAATAATTTTATTTCTACCCCACTTTTTGCTGTAGCAATCAAGGCGGCTTACAGCTAAAAGCAGACACAAACCCCAACGAAAGCTGTACAGAAACCTTCAAACCTTGAGTGAATAGAAACTCAGCACTTTGCTTGTTGTGTTCAGGGGGGAAACAATTCAAAATAAACAAGTAACTGTTGTTTGGTTGAAAAATTCAAATAGTTTCAGAATCAGAAATGATGTTGCCAAATGAATCAAGCCATAGTGGTATTGTGGTTTGAGCATTGGACTAGGACCCTGGAAGACCCTAGTAGATCAATTTTAGACCCTAAAATTGATCTACTACACTCTCTCAGCTTCAGAGAAAGGCAAAAGGTAAAACCCCTGCTGACCAAATCTTGCCTCTGTACCTTTAAAAATTGGCTTGAAAAGGGAATTTTTCAGCAGGTGTTTCAATTCCTGCTGATATTCCCCCTTCTTCCCAAGCATTAAGGTATAAAAGCCCTTTGTAGGATTTTCTTTTGCTGCCAGGAAAAGATCCTTTTCGGAAGAAGGTAAAAGTTGGATCCCATGAAAATGGATCCTCCTGATTTTATATGATTTTATGTGAACCAAACCTGTTGCTCCTTTTTAAACAGGCCTTCATGGTAGAGGCAGCTGCAAACTCCATGTCATTAATTAAATGGTGTTTTCAATTAATTAAATGGTGTTTTCAATTAATGTTGCAAAAGTATTGTACTATTATAATTGGAGAAGATGGTTTCATGCTTTCGAAGCTTTTGTCCTCCATACTGTTTTAGCTATTTTATGTTGTAAGCTGCTTTAATTCCTATTTTGAAGAAAGGCAAGCTACAAATCAAACAAGCTTTTCCTGGCTTGCAAGAAACAAATCTCGACAAAAGTGTGGGTTTTATATCCCTTTTGTTTGCTCCTGACTTGGGAAAAAAATTAAGAGTGTAAATATATATTGGGGCACACCCCGATTCTGGAATTCCCCCCCCCAAAAAAATATTAAAAATGGAATTTGCAACTCTGATTAAATCATTATTATAATTTGTATTTTTCCTTACAAATGCCTTCAAATTTATCACCATAACTACTATTAGCTATTAAAGGATGTATACATTTGGGAAGGTCACCCCAATTCTGCAATTTCTCCCCCCCCCCCAAAAAAATTGGAATTTGCAACTCTGTTCAAATCATTATAACATAAATTCAAACAGAAATGTACTTTAGTTTTCAAAAGCATCACCATAATTACTATTAAAGGATGTATACATTTGGGAAGGATACCCCAATTCTGCAATCCGCCCCCCAAAAAATTTAAGATGGAATTTTCAACTCTGATCAAATTATTATTATTACATTTATTCTTCCATACAAATGCAGTTACTTAGCCTCCAAATAAACACCATAGCTAGTATTAACTATAAATAGTATTAAATATTAAAGGATGCATACATTTTT